GGTTTGGGCACCCATTTTGAGTTTGGGGCCAGTGTCAGTTGGGCTCTGAAACTTGTTACTCAATCTAGAGGCATTTCTGCAGCTACAGCAAGAAGTTTTATGACCAGGGTAAGCATCTTGCCACAGAGGGCACTGGCTGCAGGCTGCAAAACCCCGACCACTGCGGAGGCTCTGCAGCCTCTTGCCCCGCTGTCCACGGGCTGTCATCTTCTTGTTTCTTGATTGACTTTCACCTGGTTCTGCCTCCTCCCTTCCAAGATGTTGCTCTCCCAAGAAAGGAGCCTCACCCTGCTCCTCCTTGCTTGCCCCTTCAGAAATCCCCTGCCACCTCTTACCCCCCCAAGACCCACAGCCTGCCTCCGGCACTGTGGGAGGGATTCAGCCCATCGAGGAAGGGATCTCTATGAAGAAGCAGCAGCAGAGGTGACCCCGCAGCCTGGCTGCTCCCTCCTGGGAACCACCATCCCTCTGCAAGGATGCATTCCCCTTAGGGTTTTGCATCTTCTGTCAGCGGCTTCCTCACAGCTTCTCCTGTGGAAGCTGCTAAAGGCAATCTGGGACCACGGGGGTGATGCCAGCTACCCAGAGAGGTGGAGAATCCTCCCCCCTTGGAGATGCACAGCTCCCCCGGAGACAGCCTTGAGCAGCCTGCTCCAGCGCCAGGGTAAACCCTGCTTGGAGCAGGAGCTCAGACAATAGACCTCTGGAGCTCCCTTTGCATCCAACCCCCACCTGCAGCGCTGCTGTCTGAATCCAGAGTCTCACGGGGGTGCAGAGTGATGGAAATGGCCAGCGCCACCTCCAGCATCCCCCGGCACCCCCAAGCTGCCTGGGACATCGCTGCACGTCCAGGGCACAGGGCAATTCTGGGAGCCCGGGGCTCCCTGCTGTGCCAGGCCATAGGAAGCCAGAAGAGGAGAATGGGGTCCCTCATCTGCCATTGAATGGACATGCAGTGAAGCAGGAAGCCTGGATTTCCTCTGAGCTGCATCCCAGCCCCATGCGGCAGTGAGCCTGTGCCTCAGCAGCCACGCCAGGCCAGAGCTCAAGGTTGTCCCAGCAAGGCTGAGCAGAGGTCGGAGAGGGAGGATGTTCAATTAAAGCTGCTTAAAAAAGAAATCCAACTTTCCATATGCCTCTCTGGAGAAAAAAAAGCCCCGAAGCTGAGCACAGGCTGGGGGCTGAGCACGACCCCAGCGGCAGAGGTGACTCCGGCTCAGCCGTTCCCACTGCGTCCGATCTGCGGGGATTGAGGTTGCCTTTTGGCATTTCTTTATGGAAAGTTGGACATTTGGCTCGGCAGAAATCCCCGCGCGAGCTCGGATGGCGGCCAGCCCTGTGACATAGTGTCCTCCAGGGTACGCACGGCTCTCGACGCTCCCTCTCCCCCCGGTGCGCTGGGGTGCTGGTGATGCTGGAGGCAGCTCTGACCGGCAAGGCTGGTGCCTGGGTGTGCTCCTGCATGGGGACATTGGACCGGGATGGTGGCACTGGGGAACGTTGGAGGGCAAGGAGCCATCCCACCTTCGCTGGTGGCCCCGGAACAGCTTCAGCCCATCCTGTTGGAGAAAACTAAGTGTGTCCCTGCAGACGAGGAGTCATTCCCTGACCAGCATCTTCATCAGGAGGAATTTCCCTGGGCAAAGGAACAAAGGATTCAACCATTGCATAGCAGAGGTGGTGGGCGGCATGGCCAGGACGTTGGCCCTCGTGTTGCCATGCCACGTGTGCCGTCCCACTCACACAGCTGCCCAGAATAGTGTCACCATCTGGTTTCAGCTGCCCAGGGACACGGGGGCCTCCCCGGCCCCTTCTGTGATTACAAAAAGTGAATTCAAACATCAACTCAACCTAACTCAGCCTTCCTTTATCCCCCCCCTTTTTTTTAATAATTCAGGTTTGTCTCTTAGAAAAGAGAGAGGGAGATAATGTCTGCAGAGCATTTAATCTTCTGCCCAAAGAATAGCAGAGAGCAAATTAGGATCTACTCCAATTAATTTGCCTTGATGGGCAAAATCTGGAGAGCAGCCATATCTGGGAATTAAGAACAAAAGCGGGGAGTGTAAAGTAGGTCGCTGGAGTTTCATAACCACAGCGATGGGTTTTCACAGCACGCTGGGTGCTCAGAGGCGCCCAGTGCTGGGGGCCACCAGTCCCCGCCCCCCCATCCAGCAACCGCGGGTTTCAGCCTGGGCAGTTGCTTTAAGATGCTGGCCAGCGTGCAGAGAACCAGCTGTTTAGTTTTGGGAGCAGAAACGAGTATGTTGTCCCTTCCCACGGCAGGATACGGCCACAGGGCTGTCCCAAACCCTTGAACCCAAGGGGAGGATGGACAGTGGCTGCTTGTCCCAATTTCGGAGCACCCGGCAAAATTTCCCGGGGGTCAGCATGCCCATCCTTGCTGTCACACTGCCACTCTTGGCCTTGAGGATGCTTCCTTGAAGGAGGACTAGGGGTGATATGGTGACAGCAGGTTTAGGGCAGTGCTCTGCTATGGACCATTGCACTGTGGTGTGTCACCAACCCCCAGTGACCCAGAGGCCCATTCTAGCCCAGCATCCCCAAATCCCAGCCCCAGCTCCCTGGAGCCATCAGTGCCTGCAGGCTGTGTGGTGACATACTCTGGTGTCACGTATGGGGACGCCTTCCAGCTTTAGGACACACGTGGTAGCATAGCCAAGGGTGTGGGCCATGCGTGGTGACATGCTGGTGTGCAGGACATGTGGTGACATAACCAAGGGTGTGGGACACATCTGGTGACATCTTCCAGGGCATGAGATGTGTGCGGCACATCTTTCTGCATGCAGGATCAAACACCCAACACATTTGGTGGCTGTTTGTAGATCTTCCTAAACACCCACAAGCTCCTGGCTGGATCGAAGTGGCGCGGTTTGGTGTATGCCAGTGTCACCACCGCAGTGACGGCCTGGCAGAGCACCACTTCAGTGGCCCTCCAGCTCCCCGGCCACCTCTCACCACCCCACTGCAGGATGATGAGGAGAAGCCGGCGGCGGCAAGCCCACCACTCCTGGTCCCGCGGAGGTGCCGGCGGGGTGACAGGCGCTGTGCGGTGCATCGCCGGCGCCCGTCCGGCGTTTATCCTCTTAGCCACCCTGCAGGGATCCAGCACTAATTCACCCTTAAACACAGGATTGTCAGGAACTGGAAAGGAAAGAATCGACAGATTATCCCCCCGGCGCCAGCGTTAAACACGGGGAGTGGCAGCTGCCGGCCAAGGAGAGCCAGGACAGCATTTTGCCCCATGTCCTGTGGGGCACTGGGCCCTGGGGTCAGTGCCGTATCCCGGCAATGGCTGCTGGCAGCCCGTCCCCGCTCCTCCCCATGCGACGTTTTGTGTGTCCCCACAAGCCGGCTCCAGGTTGGCTAATAAAAGAAATAGCATGAAATAAATATGGGGTCCCTCCGTAAAGCTGAGGGATCGGCAGCGACTTCTTAGCCCCCCAGGATGCACCACGGCACAACAATCCAGGTGGCATTTCCTGGCCCTGGATCCTGGCAGGGTACCGGGGCAGCTGGGGTGATATCCCAGAATTCAGGGATCACACGTTTAAGTGACTGGACCTCGCAGGAAGAGGTATTGCAATGAAACAAGCAATAATTTTCCCTGGCTCAATGAGGACAGTGATAATTGAGCTTCTCACTCGCATGCTAAAGGCTTTCAGACACAGGCCAGCGTGCAAAGGCTTCCCCAGACCAAAACCATGACCGTGCCCCATGACTGGCCACAGGAATGTTTTTGGGACAGCCTTGAAGTCACCCTGGGAATCAAAGAAACTGCAGCAACTCACTACTCACAGCATGTAGCTGCTTTTCTCATTGCTCCTGCTTGCCACTGAGCCTCACATAGTCCATGGCGTGGTGGCACTTGTGTCAGCCAGAGGATTTTGACAGTCAGAGTGCTGTTGCCTTTACTGAGCGGGATGGTTTCCCACATGCTGGTCAGATCTACCTGCTGGGCCAGCCAGGAGCCATTGATCTGTGCAATTGATGGGGTAGCCCATTTGCAATTTTAATGTCCCTTCTGGTGACAGGTGGGGGGAGATGGCTGTTCCCTGAAGAGCAGGGAGGTCGCTTTGCCAACCCACATCTAGGGGAACTAGTTTGCCATGATGGGGTTTAGTATGCTAGGAAAAAAAATCTGAAGTTTGCAGCATAACAGCAACAGCGATGGGAATAACAGCGTCTTCCACTGACAGACACAAGTTTAACCAAGTTAAACTCCAGCACGTCATCTTGGCTTAACTTCAACAAGTCCCACTTGGACCTGGATGAGAGCTTCAGTTCCCTGGTTTTCTTCACCTATATCATCTCGGCTGAAAAAACCCTCTTCTCCTCCCTGCAAACCCCGATTTCCTTGATGACCGTTAATAGGACCAAATATAGCAGGACCAAAATAAAAGGGATGGAAAATGGGATTTCTTTCAGCAAATTGTCTGATGCCACTGGAGTTGCCTATCAGAGGACAAGCTATGGGTGTTTTCCTAAGATGCCCCTTAAAATAAAGGAACTATTTGACCCATCACTAAAGGGAATATCCTCTATGCCTAGCCCTGAAAAGCAGCTGTCGGGGAACAGCAGGGTGGTGGGAATCCCCAGTACAGCCCTCCCCGGGCCATCATGGTCCCGTGGGCTGCCCACTGTGGCTGCGGGTGATGCACCAGGGGGACAGAACCACAGATCCCCCCGGGGACCCTCCCTGGGGGCTGGTGCAGGGACGGTCTCCTCTCCAATCCCCAGAGCAAACCCAGAGCTTAGGAAGGGCATGAGGGGCATCCCATGGCAGAGAGACGAGAGAAATGTAAAAGTGTCTTTTAATATAAATATAAATCCATCTGAAGGGCTGCAGGAGAGGACCGTGCCCCCCAAGGGATGCCCGGGGACAGGGAGGTGGGCTCGGTGGGGACTGCGGGCACCTGTGCCCCGCCAGTGCTGGGGGACCAAGCCGGGGCATTGGCCGGACCCCCCATGGGCGGGCAGGGCTAGAGCCGGGGCATCAGCAGCGGCAGGGCCAGCAGGGCCAGGAGATGGGGATGCGGGGGGGTGGCTGAGCCCCGCAGCGTGGCCTGGTTGGTCTCGGCAGCCGGCGAGCCATGGGCACTGCCCAGGCGTCCCCGGGCACTGCACAGCTCCTGCAGGTTCCCCTGGAACTGGATCTTGCGGGACTCCTGGCGCAGCGATTCCCAGATGGCGGCTGCTTCCTCGGGGCAGTTTGACAGCACCTCGGTGGCACAGGCGTGGAAGTCGTCCCAGGACCTGGGGAGATGGGCAGGAGTCAGGGGCAGCGCAGGTGGCAGGTCACCCGGCTGTCCCAGCAGCTCCCACGGGGATGGGGACACTCACTTGCAAATGGTGTCAAGCTCCTGTGCCTCCTCGCTGCCCTCCTCCCTCTGCTGCCGGACGCTCTGGGCCATGCTGTCCCCCAGGCTGAGGAGGCAGCCAGCGAAGCCCTTGTAGATGGTGTCACACTTCCCCGCCATGCTGACGGGCTCCTGGCTCGTGGCTGCAGGGGAGAGGAAGATGGAGCTGAGCCCCCGCAGAACCCCCTGATGGCTGTCACCCGCCTGGCTCAGGGGCACATGGCGTGAGGGTGTCACCAGGTGGGGGTGACACCAGGTTCTGAAACATGGCGAGGGGCTGGCACCCCCCTTCCGTATCCCGCCAGATCCCTGGCATCCTCTCCCCAGGCGCTCGGAGTGAACCTGCGCTCCTGGCCCGGGAGCCCGACGTGGCACAATGTGATGACCCCACAAGCGATGCTGCCATTAGCCGCAGGGGAAGAGCGGTGTGCCGGCCACTTCGCCTCGGGCCTCCCGGGCTCTTCCCAGAGCCATCTGTCCCAGCTTTCATCCCCTAACAGAAAAGATTAATTTGTGACTACAACAGAAAAAAAACCCAAACAAACAAAAGCAAAGGCTTAGCAAGCTGGAGTGCCTGCTCTTACTGCAGTGGGAGGGAAAAGGAATAGGGGAAGGGGAAAAGGGGGACATGATAGGGGGAAGGGGGAAGGGGAAGGGGAAAGAGGAAGGAAAAGGGGAAGAGGAAAGGGGAAAGATGAAGGGGAAAGGGAAGGGGGAAAGGGGAAAAGGGAAGGGAAAAGGGAGAAGATGAAGGGGGAAGGGGAAAGAGGAAGGAAAAGGGGAAGATGAAGGGGAAAGGGAAAGGAAAAAGGGAAAAGGAAAAGGGAAAGATGAAGGGGAAAGGGGAAGAGGGAAGGAAAAGGGGAAAGATGAAGGGGGAAGGGGAAAGAGGAAGGAAAAGGGGAAAGGGAAGGAAAAGCACAAAAGGAAGAGGCACAAGTACAACTCTGGCTGCTTCACCCTGGGAAGCCCCAATTCCCTGTTCTGCTCTGCAAGGGATGAACCACCACTGGCCAAGCCCCAGTGCCAGCCACAGGATGATGGGTGACAGAGTGTGTTGGGGATGACCGCAAGTGCCATCCACAGCCAGGGGGAAGCCCCAAAAGAGCCAGTGTGTGGCTGGGTCACAGGGAAACGCTGCACGGTCGGCTTGGCTCTGCCCTGGGGGGCCGGCAGGGCCAGACAGATGTAGGTTCCCCAGGCCAAGTCATGGGAGACGCGGTGCTTTCAAAGTGCCGTGGGTGTCCACCTGGGAGGTTTCTAAGCTGAGGATGCTAAAAAGGCATGAGGACAGTCCCGGAGGGCTCCCCTGCAGGAAAGTGACCCCAGAAGCCTCTGAAAATTGCCCGGCGGCTGCCAAAACAGCCCGTGCTGCTGGCACCCCATGCCTGTGCCCCTGGAACAATGCCCTGAGCAAAGTGTCTGTGGCCAAGACTAACAGCAGGTGAGCCTGAAACCTCAGCCTGTCATGGAGCACAGCAGGTGTTCATGATGAGAAACGCCCCGAGCACATCACCGAGGAAAGTCTCAGACTGATGCCAGCCATGAGGGTCACAAATATCGCAGGTATCGGTAGAGAAAGTGGGATCCATTGCCAGGGACACAAGGGCTGGTAGGGCCAGCAGATGCCTTCCCTCGGCGGGCTGGTCCCTGTTGCAGGCTGGGTTTTGTCCTCCTGGGCTCTAATGCCTGGCACAAGCTCTCTCCTCCACCCAGCTCCCTCAGCAGGGCAGGCGAGGAAGGAGAAACCAGGAGGGCAAATCTCTGCTATTCCGCTGCAAAACCATGGGGGAAAAACCTGCCCCCCCCCCCCCCCCAGCTCCAGCAGGGAGAGAGCCCCAAGGGAAACGCACAGAGAGTTTCCCAGGGTGCTGCGGAGCATCACTGGCTTCCAAGCGATATGCGGACACAGCTGTAATGCTTCTAGGGAAGGGCCTGAATCATCCACCCCCGAGCCCGAAAACCACCCCAGGCTTGGTAGTCCCCATCCTCCCCGCTCTGCACAGCACTAGACCAGGGCAGGGATGCTGCTGGGTACTGCTGTGCCTGGAGCCAGACGGTGTCTTCCCTCGGTTCTGGGAGGAGTGGGAGAGCGTGGAGGCGGGATGAGGTGCAGGATCTGCCGGATGACCGTTCCCCAGCGGGCAGGATGACCTCCAAGCCCCGGGTGTAGGAGGGCAGGCAGGGAAAGCCAGCAGGAGCACGGGGTCGGCCGACAGGGCTGGCCTAGGGCACCGCTCCGGGCTGGAGAGCCGGAGCCTGGGGACTGTCCCTGCCTCAGCAGAGGGACCCCGGGCAGTGCCGCGAAGCCGCTTTCCTCCTTGCCCGGCAGCAGATGGAGCCACGGTGGCTCGATGAGCCTGGGGGCAACCGGGCATCTCGCTCCCCGCAGCTAGAGACGGTACGGGCGGCGCAGGGGCAACGAAGCCGGAGACGGCCAGGGGTCCCCGCTCCCACCCGCCAGCCTCCCCGAGGAGAGACCCCGGGGATGTCCCATCCGCAGCCACCGGCGAGCTCCGCAGCCCGGGGCACGGAGCAGCTCCCGGTTCTCGGCCCCTCCCCATCCCGGCGGCACTCACCGAGCTGGAGGAGCAGCGGGCACACGACCCCCAGCAGCCGCCAGCAGCCGCAGCCCATGGTGCGGACCCCACCGCCGCCGCCGTGTGCTCCGCGCTCCGCCGCCACC